GGACTTATCAGGATGGGATGTATCTTCTGTGACTGACATGAGTTACATGTTAAGCCGCGCAACACCTTTCGATCAAGACTTGTCATCCTGGGATGTTTCTTCTGTGACTGACATGAGTTTCATGTTTCGTGAGGCATCGTCCTTCAATCACGACATATCATCCTGGGATGTTTCTTCTGTGAGAGATATGAGTTCCATGTTCAGTTCTGCAACAGCCTTCAATCACGACTTGTCATCCTGGGATGTATCTTCTGTGACTGGCATGAGTTCCATGTTCGAATTTGCAGAAGCCTTCAACCAAGACTTGTCATCCTGGGATATTTCTTCTGTGACTGACACGAGTTACATGTTCGTTGCTGCAACATCCTTCAATCAGGATCTTTGTGCGTGGGGTTCTTGGCTTCCGAGCAATGCTAATGTTTTTTTGATGTTCCTTGGTTGCGGTGGTGCTAGTGGTTGCCCATCACCTTCCGATCCAGACCTCGGTGCCACTCCACCAGGTCCATTCTGCCACATATGTGTCCCTACACTGTAGCTTGTAAAGATAATAACAACAGAGAAATACATGTAAACTCCGAATTCTGTTCTAGTTATTCTTGTCATCCCACACTATTTTGTCGTTGTAATGTTTCACGTTACAATTCAAATTCGTTTCCCTCGTCGACTCAACGGATTCCACCACATCCGGGAACTCGACTCGACTGACTCAATCAACTCATAATAAAATCAACTTGAATATCGACGACTCACTCGACTCATCATCACTCACTCCAAGGCAACTCTCTAGCGAAAGAAGACTTCAAGTCTTCTACTATACCTCTGTCATTTCGTCGCAACCTGAAAAAATAATATAATATTAGGGGCCTAGTGAGACTAGATGCGTATATTGCATTTTTTAAATAAATATACCGGTGTTTATAAAGTACAGAATCATCATACTGTAGGAAAATGAAAGAGATGACGAAGCTGGGAATTTTCGTTTTCTTGTGTGATGGACTTTTATAGACCCTCTCACACGAAACACGCGGAAGAAATGCTGTACAGTACAGTATGGAACGCAACCGCTAATTGTAAATATGCAGGCTTTCGTAGCCCAAATGTCTCCGTGTCATAAATGTTGTTCAAATTCCATAGTTTGTCCGATTAGATGATTCACGGACGAAAGAGATACCGTTAACTAAATATATATTTTTAGTCGTCAAATTACCAGCAGGGCAGAAAC